TTTATTGCCTTCTTTGATAAAGTGACTAAATTAGTGCACCAAGGAAATGCTGTGGATATAGTATACTTAGATTTTAGTAAGGCATTTGATAAAATCCACAGCCTACTTCTTGGCAAGATAGAACAATGTGGGGTAGACAGTACCACTACCAGATGGATGTGAAGTTGGCTTACCAACCGCACTCAGTGTGTGGTCCTTAATGGAACTACATCTATGTGGAGAGACATATGCAATGGGGTACCTCAAAGTTGAAGTCCACTCGTCTTAAAGTGGCCAAGTTTGGACAACACTGCAGTCTGGGCCCAGTGCTCTTCAACATCTTCATAAATGACCTAGATGAGGGGTTTGAAAGGGCGCTCATCAGATTTGCAGATGACACAAAGCTGGGGGGAACTGCTATCGGAAGATAGATTCAAGATTCAGAAGGATCTTGACAGACTTGAGCATTGGGCCCTATCCAATGAGATGCAGTTCAGTGGAGAGAAAAGTAAGGTCCTGCACTTAGGCAGGAAAAACCAGATGCACAGGTACAGGATAGGCAGTACCTGGCTCAACAGTAGTCCCTATGAGAGGGATCTAGGTGTCCTGATGGACCACAAGTATGAGTCAGCAGTGTGCTGCAGCTGTCAAAAAAGCCAATGCAGTCCTGGGCTGCATCAACAGAGGGATAGTATCAAGAACAAGGGAAGTGACTATACCGCTCTACACCACACTGGTGAGGCCACATTTGGAATACTGTGTCCAGTTCTGGTCATCACAATACAGAAAAGATACTGAGGCCCTAGAAAGAATCCGGAGAACAGCAACAAAGATGTTAAAGGGTCTGGAGGCTAAATCCTATGAAGAATGGCTAAAGGAACTAGGTATGTTTAGCTTAACGAAGAGACGCCTGAGGGGAGACATGATAGCAGTCTTCCAATACTCAAAGGGCTGCCACAGGGAAGAGGGCGTTGATTTATTATCCATAGCACCTGCGGGTAGGGCAAGAAGCAATGGGTGGAAGGTCATCAGAGGGAGATCCAACCTGGAAATAAGGAGAAATTCCCTGACAGTGAGAAATATTAAGGAGTGGAACAGCTTGCCTCCCGGAGCTGTGGGTGCGCCATTGCTGGAGGTTTTCAAGAAAAGATTGGACAACCATTTGTCTGAGAGGGCATGAGGACTCCTGTCTTGGGCAGGGGGTTGGACTAGAAGACCTCCAAAATCCCTTCCAACCCTATGATTCTATGATTCTACCACCCCAGATGGTTAATTTCCCTTCAGTATCCACAACAACCAATCCAAGAAATCAAATTTCATAGTCAGGTGGACCAATCTTCACCTTCCATACTTAATTACCTTTTCATTTGAATGATGCAGCCTTGGCTTATTGGTTAAGAGGTGCAAATTATCATAATGGGAGTGAAAAGCTTCATCATTGGGGCATTAAAATCATCAGCTATGAATAATTTGAAATTTGGCTTGGCCATCAGTTCCAGAAGGTAGTCCTCTCACATATCCCAGCTGCCATTAAGTCAGTTAAGCAGTCTCCCAATTTAAACAGTCCATTCAGAGTATGGAAGGCATGTAGGAAGTGCTATCAACCTTCAAAAAATGACTAGTTCCAATGGCTGAAGCACAACAAAACACCTTCTAGAGCCCTCTGGACCTCATTGATTCAACCATGAATATCTTGTTGCAAAAACTAAATTCATTCAAGCTTGAAGTAGCCCTTGAGGTAGGCCAGGTAATGCAATAAACCACACATCAGATATGCACTCTACAAATAATCCTTGAGTTATGACCACTCATTCAGCAACCATTCAAAATTACAACAGTGCTGAACGAGTGGTACCTGCGATCGGTCCTCGAAGTTCTGGCCATGGCAGCACCCCTGCAGTCACATGATCATGATTTGGGCACTTGGCAACCAGCTTACACTTACACAGTTGCAGCATCCCACGGTCACATGAACACCAATTGCAACCTTCCCTGCCAGCTTTGCACAAGCAAAGTCAGTGGGGAAGCTGGCAGGAAAGATTGCAAGTCACTCCCACTGCTTTTTCTCTTGAGGAGCCCCACTATGGAGTATGAGATTCCAGGGATCCCATACTCCATAGCACCCCCTCTCCACACTCCATAGTGCACATCCACCCCCAGCACCCCCTCCACCCGCCCGTGGCCCACGCTGGCCCACCCACACTCCCTAGCACCCGTCCTTGGCACCCATGCACCCCCCATACTTCTTGCCTGGAACTCCCACCTCTTCCCACTTAATGACCTGTGTGGTCCTGGGGTTACAACAACAGGGACTGCCAGGATTGCCATCACTAAGCGATGTGGTCATGTGACATTGCGCTTTACAACCACATCACTTAGTGACTGCAATCCCAGTCCCAATTTCCATCTTAACCCAAGAACTACCCGTATTTTATTTATATAGGCTATAGGAACAGAATTTTGAAAGCCTGACTGTGTTTTCCCTTCCCTCTCTCTTATATTCTATAGAATTAAGGAGGAATAAATCTGAGCTTTTTTCTTACATTTTCTGTTTCCTGGGCTTAAAGTTTGTTTTTACAATTGTTGTCTCTGCCTAGTTTCTTCAAGATCATCTCCATGGCTCTCTACACTTATAGGGCCTTCAGAGATAACAGGCACTACCTGTGGAGTATTGTATTAGTTGTAAAAAAAATACTACAAGGCTCTTCTGGAAAAGAGGAAAAAAAACAGGAACTTTGTATGGCTAACTGAGGAAGATAGTTCAAGCAGCAAAAGATATACAGGTAGTCCTCATTTAGCGACTGCCTCAATTAGCGACCATTCACAGTTAGGATGTGATGAAAAAGTAGTTTTGCAACCAATCCTTCCATTTATGACCTTCGCAGGTCTCTAAAGCAAAGGAAAACTGAAGTAAGATCATAAGCACAATTGTGGTTTCACTTAGGAACTGCTTCGCTTAACGACCAAGTTGCTGATCCCAGTTGTGGTAACTAAACAAGGACTACCTGTAAATCATTTGGAATCGGAGGCTTATGGCCCTCTCCTAACAGGATATTCTTCATAAATAAATGGAATAGCATTCCCTCTGAGGTCTGTATGGACCCAAAGCTTTTGCAAAGCGGCAAAATCTGCCTCTTTCAGAAGGCCCAGAGGCAGGGTGAGGTAACTGCATATTTAAGTCAGACTGAGTTTCTTCACCCTCATGCACCTGACTTCTTATTGCTATTTGGCCATTGTTCTTATTAGTGTGGTGCTATTAGTTTAACCCTAATATGTAAGCTACCTAAAGTGACTTTGGTGATTGAAGTTGATCAATAAACAAATTCTTCCCCCAAAGATGGCTCGGGGGCTGAGAGTCTATCTCAATCAGAGACATGGATGGAGCACTCTAGGGCCCTATTCATGTGGCTGTCTATGATCTGAGGCACAGAATCATACCATGGCTTGCCATGATTAATTA